GCCAGGGTCGGCACCAGCACGCGCGGCGCACCCGGGGCCGGGGCCGGCCATGCACCCAGGGCTGGCACCTGCCGCACTCCCAGGGGCGGGGCCAGCCCAGATTGCTCCGCGGGCACATGTAAAGGACCCGGCGGGCGCCATGGCACCCGCGGGCACCGGGTTGGGGACCACGGTAAATTAAAGCATACTATTGATGGCAGTCACTCTGATGAAGATACCTATTGAATGTTATATGAGCTTATTAAATGAATTTTTATTTTTGACTTTTTCCAAAGTCTACCTAGAACTCTGAGCGCTTATTTTCAAACAACATTTTTATCAATAAAAAAGTCTTCCACATTATTAGTAATTTGACTATCCTTATGTTAGTAATAGTCACAATATTCCTTGCACTTGAAGTACTCATTAATATTTCATCCCACTTCCTCCACATCTCTGTAGCTCACTTCTTCCGCAAATACTCAAGAACAAAAAGTGGATTTTGTGAGCAAGCCTAGTAGGTAAAACAATCCAGACTCTGGCAAACCATACTGTGTGGAGAACATTTTAGAGCCCAAAACCCCTTCTAAAGAACGCTTAAAAGGCTCCAGATTCAACTTATCAAGATTTGAAAATACTAGAGAGAGAGAGAGACACAGACACAGTCCCTTAAGTAATCATTGTTAAAAAATATTTAAATAGATTTAACATTTAAAATGTTAAAAAAAATTATAAAAACCTATGCAAGTTTGTCAGTATTTATATTAATGTCTAAGTTAAATACTTATAAATAATTACTTTAGCATGAAATAGCATGATAATACTATGAACTTAAATTTAAATAAAAGAACAGGAGTTATTTTTTAAATATTTCGTATTAATGGCTATTCGTTTTTCAATAAAGGTTATTCATATTCCCCAACTGTAATAAACAAGTTTTACCCACTGTTGCCTTGCTCCTACATATGAGAGAAAAAAGAAAGCAATTTCTAGAGCATTGCCTAAGCCTCCTGGGGTCAACACAAAACACCAGGATTAGCTTTAAAACATTTCAATCTGCACAGATGTACATGTGAAGAAAGAAAAACTCAGTCTAAACACCAATATCAGTCTGAGGTTATAAAATGTCAAAAAAATTTCATCTCACACTGTCCCCTTAACTATAAATGAAGTTCACTGCTGTATGGTATTTTAAATTAGTTATCTTAACTCAGATGAAGATTTATTCAGGAAACAAAAAACAACACACAATTCTACCGTTGTGCTCTTATAAACCAAAACTCTCTGGTCTGGCAACATCTGTGGTCTGGAAGGATCAGAGAGCCCCAGTGCACTGCAGGGGCTGGGATGGGAGCCAGGAGCCTGGCATTATGCAGGGGTGGTGGCACGCAGCCCAGCCAGGTCTGCAGGGGACAAGGGGAGGTGAGCACGGGAGAGCTGGGAAGCTTGACGCACAGCTCAGCTGGGCTGCAGGGGAGGGAACCAGGAAGCCAGGGTAGGGGGGAACCAGGGCAGAGGACACCAGCAACAAGGGGGGGGGGTCCCTCATCCAAGACCACTCAGGTCCTAAGGGTGACAGATCAGGGAAGCCAACCATAGTAAGGACTTAGCAAAAATAGCAAACAAACCCAACCCCCATAATGCATATTCAGATATATATCTTGCTTTTAAAGTTAATAAGGAGTAAAAAATTGAGCGAATTCCCAATAGTATTTTACAGAGAAATGAAAGCTGGATACAGGCAGTCCCCAACTTACGCGGATCCGACTTATGTCAGATCTGCAGTTATGAACGGGGCTTTTCTCGCCCCGGAGAAAAGCTGCTCCGCGTCTCTCTGGTCTGCAGACCAGGAAGACGCGGAGCAAAGCCGCGGAGGGGCTCGGGCAGCGGGGCAGCGGGAACCGAGGCTTTGCAAAGCCGCGGAGGGGCTAAAGCAAAGGGATGACAACTTATCTGATGAAGTGGGTTTTACCTGTAAAAGCTCAGGATATAATATATTTCTTAGTCTCTAAGGTGCCACAGGACTGGTGGTTGTTTTTAAAGTTACAGACTAACATGGCTAGTTCTAAGACAATATAAATTAAGCTTCTTTTCTCATTCAGCAGATAGCCAAATAAAAATTGTGTTTTAAAAATGTTACTCAAAGAAAAAGCTAAGAAAACATTCTTACCTAGCTGGCCACCATTTAATCCCATGGTATATACTGCTTCTCTAGTCCATAAAACTGTATGGAATCTTCCTGCAGCCACTCCAATCACCGTTCTACCTTTCAGATTTTTTGCCTGAACCTACATATGAAAGTCAAAGATTTTCATAGCAGTATCAAATCCCAAACAAATAAGTTTGATGTGCATAAATCAACTTATTTGTCAATAAAAATCTATACCAATTAAACTCTTAATGGTTGCATCCGTTTCACTGAAGATTTGGCATTAAAAAAAAAAAAGGAGGGTTCATTTCAGAAGTTAGTTAAGTGGGACCCTATCCTACCACAAACGAAGAGAAACTAGAAAAACCAGTAAGTTAACTTATTCCCCCCCCCACACACACACACACACACCTTCTTAGACTCAGAGCAATACCACCTTGGGCTACCAACAGATCCCAGAACTAAGCAGGATTAAGAGTTCAGTACATAGGTAAGAAAATTGAGGAAAAATACAAGTTGTCTAAAAAGCGGCTATTGGAAATCTTTACTCTGTTTAAGTACAAGTGTCCTAGCATTCTGTAAGAGAGCATCATCTTAACATTTCACTCTCAGTGAGAAAAGGTTGAGGTATTAGGAAGACAGTTATTACCTGTCTGGGAACACTGCAGTTTGTAGGAGGAGGAAGAATACCCAACTGATGGTAAGTATTGAGGCCAAAGGTGTAAACTAACCCTTCTTCTGTTAAAATAACAGTATGATCCTTAGCTGCTGCTACCTGGGAACACTGATGGCCAATTAGACCTTCCACAAGTCTTGGAATCTAGTACAGATTGACAAAGTGTTGAAAACATTAGAATTCTTATTTCTGTACAAAGAGATAATATTTTAAAACACCATGCAGACAGTCTATTAGCAACTCACACACAAAAAATGCCAAAAACAAATGCAAAAGAAAATTAATTGTAAAGTATAGAATTGTGTAATTATTGTTTCCTATGTTATTTAATGCTCAACACCTCATCACATGGTAAAAGTATTTTGTCACATTAATCTTCTCTCCATGTACCTTAAAAACAGATAATCTACTATCTACTCATGAACAAAATATAAAATTCCAAAAAAGCTGAGCGCTTTTCAACAGCAACAATTAGTGGTATGTATGTGCGTTTTTGAAGTTCCTTCTTTCCCTTCTTTCTCCTAAATAATTTTTTTCAAAGTTACGGTAGTACAAAATGGGCTTGAGATCCAATCTCTCTCAATCCCACAAGAAAAGAGGAGAAATCCAGCTTTCCAAAAGCCACTTGCCTCTAGCTCTGATTAAAAATGCTATTTTAGTGAATTTTCAAGTGGGGGAAGAAAAACCATACAAACAATATTTTGTTAAAAATCAATTAGATACATAAAGTTTCTCTATGCTAGTAACAACCTCCATAATATCAAGGCCTTCAGGACTTTCCATCAGACATCTGTAAATTGGATTCATAGTACTAAAGAAGCTTGGTGTTATAAATGGAAGGATCTTTTTTTAAATCAATTTTTTTTAAATGTGTGGAATTTACAGAATATAGGTGAAGTGATCAAAGATGGCATTGGTATGGGACCTAACACTGGTCATTTAAGCCTTTACCATTTATAAATTATATAGTTATTCCAAATTTTGGCTAATGACTTTAAGCACACAACACTAATATATACATAAGTACACATACACACTTGCAACTTCTCAAACTGTTCCATTCAGGTTTCTCAGAAAATGTTATAATCATGTCATTTCATGTAAATAAATATGTACTATTGGTGATCAGTACACAGCCCTGAAGTCTTCATGGAGACTGACACACACAGCACCAAATTGAATTCTAATTTTTTTCTTTGTGATTTGCATCATGAAACTATTACTCGAATAAAAAAAGCAAGTACTGATCATTTTCAATAAAATCCATTTTAACTATCAATTCTTCTTTTGTAATAATTCCTGAACAAAGATGATCATTGTTAAAAATAACCCACAACTGATTAAAATATTAGAACTCTGTAGTGCACTTGGGACTGCATATTTAAAAACAGAATTTTTGTGCTAAAATATATCTTTAAAGATACCAGGCATGTTTGTTCATCACCATGACCCAAGCGTCCTCCTTGACCATGTCCACAAGTGTAAATCTGTCCTTTCTGGGAAAGGAACACCGCATGAAATTTACAAAGCACCACCTGAAAAAAATATATGCAGTCACAATTTAAGAAATAGCTACATGGAACAGGAAACTACAGCAATAACATGCTCCTGCACCGAATTGTTTAACATCATGTTTTAAACAGAAACTATATTTTGTAACAAAAGCTAGGAATGTATTATAGCTTTGAAATCAAAAGTCAATCCAGCATTTTACATCATCATTACGGTATGTATACTTTCAAGAAGAATTGGGAGCCCTGATCTGTGTACTGAAGGAAAAGTAATCCAGGAGGACTTATACCCAGTAGCAGTCTCAATGACTAAAATAGGACTGTTACATGAGAAACAGCAAAATCAGTTCCAATATATACATTATTTCTCTGTGGACAAAACAATTACACAATGGTATACAACTTTTTAATCTTTGGGGTTTTTTTAAGGTAAAAATGTTCAAAATACCTGTTTAATATAGACTCCATTTCTAGGAAACAAATCCACCAATTCAGGATGATGCTTGCTCTGTTGACCACCATGACCCAAGGTAAAATTTATGTTGTTTCCCCAAGTGTAGACATCTGTGGGATCTAGAACATAAGAACGGCCATACTGGGTCAGACCAAAGGTCCATCAAGCCTAGTACCCTGTCTGCGGACAGTGGCCAATGCCAGGTGTTCTACAAGGAGCGAATTCAACAGGTAATGATCAAGCAATCTCTCTCCTGCCATCCATCTACACCCTCTGACAAACAAAGGCTAGGGACACCATTCCTTACCCATACTGGCTAATAGCCATTTATGGACTTAACCTCCATGAATTTATCTAGTTCTCTTTCAAAGCCTGTTATAGTCCTAGCCTTCACAACCTCCTCAGGCAAGGAATTCCACAGACCGACTATGCGCTGTGTGAAGAACTTCCTTTTATTTGTTTTAAACCTGCTGCCCATTAGTTTCATTTGGTGGCCCCTAGTTCTTATATTATGGGAACAAATAAATAACTTTTCCTTATTCACTTTCTCCACACCACTCATGATTTTATATACCTCTATCATATCCCCCCTTAGTCTCCTCTTTTCCAAGCTGAAAATTCCCAGTCTCTCCTCATATGGGACCCTTTCCAAACTCCTAATCATTTTAGTTGCCCTTCTCTGAACCTTTTCTAATGCCGCTATCTTTTTTGAGATAAGACCACATCTGTATGCAGTATTCAAAACGTGGGCATACTATAGATTTATATAAGGGCAATAAGATATTCTCCGTCTTACTCTCTATCCCTTTTTTAATGATTCCTAACATCCTGTTTGCTTTTTTGACTGCCAATGTACACAGTGTGGATGTCGTCATAGAACTATCCACAATGACTCCAAGATCTCTTTCCTGATTAGTTGTAGCTAAATTAGCCCATATCATATTATATGTATAGTTGGGGTTATTTTTCCCCCGATGTGCATTACTTCAAATTTTTCACAATAAATTTCATTTGCCATTTTGTTGCCCAGTCACTTAGTTTGGTGAGATCTTTTTGAAGTTCTTCAGAGTCTGCTTTGGTCTTAACTACCTTGAGCAGTTTTGTATGGTCTGTAAACTTTGCCACCTCACTGTTTACCCCTATCTAAAATTCAAAGGACAAATTCCATCTTCAATATCTACCACATCTGTGTATTAACCTAATTCCATCTGAAATATAAATATGAACTAAACACTATACATCCCTAGGACTGTCACATCATGTAAGTGACTAGTCAACTATCTGATTAGTGATGTGACTAGTCTCTTCCCCCATTTGCTGCCTCTATCAGAGAAGGGAGAGGGGGGTAGGAAGAAGGAAGCAGAAGCCAGTGCTGGGGAGCGGCTTAAAAGCTGGTTCCCCCCAGCACTGTCTCTGCAAGGGAGGCACACTTTCATCTTTAAGACCTATTTATATGTAAAGTCTGCAATACAAAATTGCAGTTACTGATATGCAAATTTTGTCTTCCACACAGTTAATTTATATTATTGGCTAAGAACAAAAACTTGCAACTCAAGACACTTTTGGTCAAAGTTATATAATTTAGAGCTGTGAAAATAGAGTACCCTTTCAGCTGTAAATACCCTGGTACTAGAAAGTGAATTTAAACTTACTTCCTTTTGACAAACAGATAAGAAAGTCAAATAAGTACAGATGCAACAATGAGTTTATATTTTATCTATAGGTGCAAAGCATGATTGTAATCACTTATATTTTAAAGTCACTTAAATACCAAAATAGAATGATGAAATTTTGTTTAATAAAATAGAAGACAAGGCAACATCAGCCCAGAATTTAGGTTGCATATATATTTTTTCCTTTTTCCAAAAAAACCTAAGATATATTTGTGTAATGAAATATTACAGCAATCAGTAATTTAATAGATTAGAAAAGGAAACTGATAACTCTGTTTATTTGCCCAAACTGACTGAAATGGGGGAAAGCACGAGTGGACCATAAATAGGAAAAAGCAGGTTACATGTTGAAAATTAGATTATAATAATTCAAATATATTAGTAACACTGATGGGAAAGTACATTCAAAGATTTTAAACTTAACAGTATCTTAAAGTTCTGATATACTGAAATTAGCAGATCATATGACTTATATATAATACAGGTTGGACCTCCCTCAGGACCTGAGCCATTCCAACCTAGGGGAGATCAATGCTCCCCTGCTGGTTGCCTTGATGCCAGCTCCTCTCCCTGGAGCTCTCAACGCTGGGGCTCCTTGCCCTGCCACTGCTTCGATAATGCTGGCCCAGGCAAGGCTCTCTGCCCTGCTGTCCCTGGGAGTTCCCAGCGATTCCCAATCTAGGGATGGCCAGACACTGTCAGCCCCATTCAGCCGCTGCCAGCCCCACTACCTCCAGGGGTTCCTTGGGGTTGCCTGACCCCAGGGCCACCCAGCTGCTCACCGGCTGCTGAGGCCCAGCCCCATTGTCACTGGGGGTTCCCCAGGGTTCCCTGGCCAGGGCCAGCCACTGGGGATTCCCCTGTGGGGAGCCGGGACTCCTCAGCTGCCGCCCGGCCTCGCTGCCAGGGTTTCTCAGCCAGAGATCCCACACCACTGCCAGGCCCCGCTGCCACCAGGGGTTTCCTGGTCAGAGCTGCCCAGCCATCCCAAGGGTTTCTTGATCAGAGCTGCCCAGCCACCAAGGGTTTTCCAGGGTTCTGTGCTTCTACCACCTAACCATGCTGCTTCTATCTTCTCTAAGTACTACACCATTAGTACAGTAACAGAGGGTATTGTCTACACATGCACAAACATTTGTAAGTTGATAGAGATAACCATCTTGTAGGAATCTCTGTATTAAATGTGATGTCCTACCTGTTTTCTTGAATACTACATAGGCTGGTCTATCCTTCATCACAAGGTCCAAGGCAGATAAACCTTCTTTATCTTGCATGTATAAACTAGCCCCATGCTGAAAGAAGAGGGGGGGAAACCATCTGGTATGAGTATTACTATCATCCCAACATTTCACAGCTAGCAAAGAAATGAATATGACAAATAGTCTTAGGTGATCTCACTGCAATGCTACATTTGCTAAGCAAATAAATCCTTTGCATTCCAGAACCATAACATTCTAAAGATGGATTAAACTCAGTAAATAATAATCAGGGACAAGTGAAATGGACTAACTATTTCAAAGTAAGTCTACAAAAAAGCTCAACGGGACAAGCTTCAACAATAACTACTATTCTACATACAGTGATGTGGCAATGACTCCCACAGTTGAAAAACATGCAAATGGGAGTCCCCACTGTGCTTTTAGAGCTAGAGATGATAAAGTGCTATACAAGAGTTAGATACTACTATTACATTTGGGCATCTTCACCAAGGGTAGCAAGTGGGTGTGACAGAAGTGGAGTTGTTCTGTAATAATTTACAAATACTGTATGTTTATCTGTTAATTAGAATATTTTCTCCATGAATGTTGGTATGCTAATAGGAGGATGTGTTGGGAAGAAGAAACAGGAAAGAATACAATGGTTGAAGATTCAACACAAGCTACTGGTTATTATTCTTTATTTAAAGGATAGCTGATAAAGTCATTTTCATGATTAAAATGGGGGCTATGTAACACCATTTGTGTTTGCTATGTTTCTGAATATGCACAGTAATCTGGACTACGAACTAAAAGAATCTTTCAGAGGTCAGTCTGCACTTTTGGGGTCTTTTGTTCCCTCCTGTAGAGGCTGCACTCTCAAAGACTGACAGATTTCACCTTTGGATGAATTATTAAAATATTTTCTGGACTAATCAAACATGATTTGGTCCCCAAAAAAGTTCAATTTAGCCCTGGAAGCAGTTCCAAACACAATGTTAACAGAAGAAGTCTATATATATTTTAGTGCAGCTTATTTAGCTACACAGTACCTAGGGACAAAGAGAAGCAAGTCACACAACCAGATCCCCAAAAAAACCAACACACACGCACACAGAGCAGTTTGGAGTGAACAAATATGGGACACCATTTCTACTGAAAAAGTTTTAAAGTTCTCCAGAATCACAGACACACTAAAGATAACAAATCATTAGAAAGGGCTGAAAAACAACTACTTGGAACATTTTCAAGGAAAGAATGGTTGGAATGAAAGCAAAGTGGCAGGTAAAATAAGCATTTTAGTACCATCAAAGCTTCTAAAATTAAAACTGTTGGAGATACATCCATTTTTGTTAGTCTGCCTATTGAAAGCAGATAATACTAGCAATGATCAACCAGTGTAATACCTCAAATAAGAAAGGGAGAATTCCCTGACCTCTATCTGGTAAGAAATTGGCTAAAGAGACAAGTGGGGCAGAACTAAAGCCCAACATGACAATCACCTTCTAATCAATTTCACTTTCGTGTACTACTAATAAAATGTTAAAAGAAATGAGCAGTAGATACCTGATTTCTTAAGAAATATTTCCATTTAACTATTTTTTTTAGTGTCAGGAAAACATTTCTGTTCGTATTTTTGGAACACATTTTTAAAAAATTAAATATAGTACCAAATCTAAGCCCAGACTGTTTAAGTAAACAGAAACTCCGTGCAGCCCATTGACTTCAACAGGATCCTGCACAGAGGTAAGGGTCAGCTCATGTAGAGTCACTTACAAGATAAGCACTTGAGATCCTGTCTATATTTTAAACTGCACAGATTTAACTTCAAAATTGGCTTAATTGTTATTGGACATAAGGAATCAAGTTACATTAAAAATCAATGCAATTCAGTTTTAAACTGAATTAAGTAGCGTACACAAAAGTAGGGATATTAGTTTATGGTCATTCAAACAATTAATCGATAAGCCTGGGTTTATCGGTTAATCCGAACAACTACACATCTCTATCAGACGCCGTGTGATGACGGAGCAGACAGTCCACAGGGAGCTTCCCCCCCCCCGCCCATCTCCCGCACAAACAAGGCTGCTGCCACCCCACGCTCGGCCTCTCATAAAGAGGCAGCAGCACAGGACAGCAGGTGAGAGCCGGTCTGCATGGTGAGCCAATTTTTAAAACCAGCTCTCCTCGCAGATCAGCTCCGCCTGACACTCCACGCTGCTGTCTCTGGCTGCCAGTCCCACCCCAAGGGGGAGCATTTTAGTAACTGTGTAATTGCTAAAAATTGTTGCAGCTACATGACTACTAAAATAAACAATATCTAACATCCTTAACTCAAAGAGTTTTGTACTAGTTTAGCTCAATCCGTTTGAAAGTCACACCTTGAGTGAAATTTTGAATACAGGACTTTCTTTACAAGTTCATGCATGACACACCCTAAACACATTTAAAAAAATAGTATGCATTACATAGTCAGATACTGACCTTCAGCAATGACCAAACACAGTCAATATGTCCATAAAAGATGCCTCTGTGCAAAGCTGTCCATCCAGACTCCTTGTCTTTTGCCAATAAATCCACTCCTTTGGCCTCTGCCAGCCAATCTAGAACACCTTTCTTACCACAAGATGAAGCAAGATGAAGGACATTCCTACCAAAGGTATCCTTTAAGGTTGCTGCATTGTAGCAGTAAGAGGAGAGAAAGGCCTTGATCTGGCCTTCACTTCCTCTGGTAACTACAGAAATAATATCCAAAGCATGTTGCAGAGAATGACACTTCAGAGTGCAGTCAGGAAGGATAGAATTCATTCTCCCCTTTCTCAAACTGCTCCCTCATTAAGAGGAGCAACCAGTATGAATGCTAAGGCACTCCCTTTTTATGACACAATACAGTGCCACAGGAAATTCATTACTCCTAATACTTAAATTAAATTTTATATAGCAGCCATCGAAATCTTTATGCAGTTACGTTTGGCACTTAATAAAAAATATAATATTTATAAGTATAAATGTATACTGTGGAGTCTTATTTCTCCATTTTATACAACAAAAAAATGTTATTGTCCATAGAAAATTCCAAGAAACAAAGGAGCGGGGAGGGGGGCTCCCCCTCCACACGATCTAATTCTTCTAAATCTCCATGATTGCAAAAGAGACCTGCAAGAAAAGGAATAAGAGGGGAAAAGAGACAAATAAGAATTACACAACATTCAATAGACTTCTACCCCAAGACCATATTTTTAGGGGCTTTTTATTAGATATGAGAAACACTGAACTTTGATAGGCCCAATTTTTATGTCTGTTGCATTGATGTTTCCATACATTGGAAAAGCCCCCATAAGTCCTGTAAAAATATGAAACTTCTCATTCACACCCCCACACTGACTCCAGGTGACCAAATTACCCAATAGTCCCTTTGATTATTCAAATGATTTAAATAATTTGTAGATTAAAGGGACAGTAAAATGTTGGTAAACTGGGCCATCACACACACACACACACACACACACACACACACACACACTACTAGGGATATTAACAAATGTTTATAATTGTAAACATAGAACTGCTGAATTTTTTGCAGTTACACATTTACATGCAAGGGAGCAGATGGAAGCCAGTGCTTGGGGGGGGAGCCATCTTAAAAGCCGGTTCCCACCGCCCCACCCACCCCCACTTGCTTTCTCTAATACAGAGGCAGCAAGAGGGGAGGTATGCTTTGAGCCCAGGATTAATTGATGAGTCCAGGTTTATCAGTTAATTAAACCGACTATATGCTAACATACCTACAAAATACTTGTAATTCTTTAAATGTGTAGGGGATGGGGAAGGTGGCTATTGGGGGGGGGGGGGGGG